AAGAACACGTCAACCATTCATAAACTTACGAAAGGTTGTAGAAACTTTTGAAATAGAATGATAGGACATGTGCCAAAGGAGAAATCCTCCATGATGCATGCAAACACATAAATTACAGCATAAATTTTTGATCGAAATATAAACGAAAAAGAAAACGAGAATGTAATATTTTATTTATAATATAATTAATATTGAATATATTATTATATATATATATATTATATTATATACAATATATAAATATTGTATTATAAATATATTATTATATTATATTATTATGTTATATACAATATATATATTTTGTGTTAGATTTATAAATTTGTTTGAATAATATAATAAAATTTGTTTTGTAATAATTGTCATTGAAATTGATATTTTCTAAGGTTAAAAGTCAAAACCATTTATCGTTTCATCTATTGAAAAATAATTCGAAACAACAGGGGCACTCACGGGGTGTATTAAAAACTATCAATCAATCGTTTTGTTTGAAAGTAATCCGCTTCGTGTATTACAATATTGATGCACGATATATTCAATCACAACGAAGGACGATTAACGTTAATGCAACAAAGATCAAATTTATTTTCTTAATACGTTTGACCATTTTTGTTCTTTGTAAGTATTATTTTAATTTAAACAGCTTTCAAGTGTCTCGTGCCCTTAATGGGTAATAACGTGACGATGATCCGAGCAATTACCTTGCCCTTCGTTCGAACGAAGGCACACAAGGTTCATGAAGGTAGTAGCCTCGAAGGATGAGGAAATAAAAAAAAAACGGCTCGATGTGGTTGCAATACTCGACACCGTTGTCCTTGGTAGAGACCGGGTACCGTCCATTCCGACAGTTCAAAAAATTGCAACCGAGAGTTAGCTTATCTTTTTCAAACGACAACTACAAAGACAACTACAACTACAACTACAACTTACAACAGGAACGAGAACAAGGACGCACGCCCTTTTCCAATATTTTATTTCCTTGATTTCTTGTAAGAACCTCTAAAACGTTTTACGATCTAATCGTATCCGGTAGTCCGGATGTGCATTAACGTGGGTGTAAACATCTTTTCATGATTGGTCTATACGAACAATTTCATTACGAAACTATCGATAATCTAATAAGTATAAACAAAAATGTATTATATTATAATGGTTAGATATTTGGCAATTTTAAATGTAACAAATGCATAAATAAAAATACAGATTTGAAATAAAACATTGATGTAACTAATAGGTTTTTAACCTGAAATATTTAATTAGTATTTTAATAGTAATTAGTATTACAATTTCAAAAAGAGAAAAATTTTTTATAATATGCAACAAATGCATAACTATAAATACGAATTTAAAATTAAACTTTGATATACCAAATAAGCTTTTAATCTAAAGTATTTAATTAGTATTTCAACACTAATTAGTATTACAATTTCATTATGGAACTATCGATAATATAATAAGTACAATTTAAAAAAAAATATATATTATAATATGCAACATGTGCATAAATAAAAATACGAATTAGAAATGAAACTTTGGTTTCATTATATATAGATCTTTTAACCCGAAATATTTAATGAGTATTATGAGTATATATATATATATATATATATATATATATATATATATATATATGTTTGTTTGAAGTAAAGGTTGGTGAGTTTCTCAAAAGCGGACATCCTTGGTATTTCGCGCGCAGCTGCAGCTGCGACGAGCCCGGGGCCGAATGCACCGCAATGCAGGTGAACCAGCGGCTGGTCCACAGGCTGGACCAACTAACCAACCAATAAGCAGTCGGTGCACTCGGAAGAAGATGCGTAGGCAGTTGTATCTTCGAATCATCGTCTACTGCAAATTTCTCTTTTTTTTTGTTTTGTTTTATTTTTCATTTTTGTTTTTTATTTTGGTTTTTTTCATAGTTATTGCAGATGTTATCTTCTTAGGAAAATATCTTACGAGTCCGACTTGCTCTTCTTCTTCTTCTTCTTCTTCTTCTTCTTCTTCTTCTTCTTCTTCTTCTTCTTCAAAGGATCCTAAAGCTATGTGTAAGAGAGAGAGAAGACACGCGGGAGGAGAATTTCCTCCACCTTCTTTTCTACCTAGCACCATACTATGTAATCTTTCGCTCGGAGTTTATGCTACGTCCTACGGACACGTTCCTATCTTGAGATAATTCATACCGACGTATGCAACGATTCGAATTATTCGCAAGCTTTTCTTTCTTTCTTTCATTCCTTCCTTCTTCTTCCTCTGTGACACGTACTCTGAGTAAACCGATTCAATTTTCTTTCTGTTTTTTTTTTTTCAACATCAAATAAAAACCATATTCCTTAAAATACCTATTAGAATAATATGTCTAATAATTTTCTGAAAGAAATATTCTTTCTAAAAGATTATAAACAATCTTCAATGAAACTAATCGATTGTTCAATTAAATCTTTCCAAATAATTCCCAAAACAAATATGATTCGATTAGACCATGCTTATAATAAGTGTATAAATGAAAATATTAAAATATTCTTCCTGTAATAAATAATCGTTAATGAGATTCTCGATTCCTATCGAGAAGACGTTAGAGTAGATTTTACGCCATTCAAGTATGCTTTCGCTTTCGATCCTGATCGAACAAATAAAGGTGCGGTCATATCGTTGCAAAGTTAAGAAGTATAATACATATAGGAGGCTTTTATAAGTTTATATATAAAACATAAACTTAATAAATATAAGAGTAAAAGTGTATGTATTTGATGTAAGTGTGTTATAAATATAAAAGTAAAGGTGCATGTGTGCATATGTATGTATGTTTTATATATTCCATAGTGATCTGTATGTATGTTTGTGTATGTATTTGTGTGTTATATATTCCATAGTGATTTGATACACATGGGTGTGTTGTATATTCCATAGTAATTTGGTACACATATATAGGTGTGTTATATATTCCATAGTAATTTGGTACACATATGGGTGTGTTATATATTCCATAGTGATTTGTATATATATTTGTAGATGTGTTTGTGTGTTATGTATTATATAGTGATCTGTATTGTATATATTTGTGACACATATGTGTGTTATATATTCCATAGTAATTTGTATATATGTTTGTAGATGTGTTTGTGTGTTGTATATTCCATAGTAATTTGGTACACATATATAGGTGTGTTATATATTCCATAGTAATTTGGTACACATATGGGTGTGTTATATATTCCATAGTGATTTGTATATATATTTGTAGATGTGTTTGTGTGTTATGTATTCCATAGTGATCTGTATTTACGTTTGTAATGATCTGTATTGTATATATTTGTGACATATGTGTGTGTTATATATTCCATAGTGATTTGATATACATATGGGTATGTTATATATTTCATAATGATGTGTATATATATTTTTTGTACATGTGTGTTATATATAATATTCCATAGTGATTTGTATATATCCTTACTTACGATCTAAAGTATATAACGAAGATAGAGAGAATGATAAAATGAGAGAGAGAGAGAGAGAGAATGAGAGAGTGAACGATCGATCGAAGCAAACATCCTCCGACAAGATTATCGTAGCGGAGCACGATGTAATCGAGCGGAGGTTGTCGGTTGTCGCTTTAAAATTCCCTCCTCTCGGCACCACCACCGAGGCTCGCATTGCGCTTGCTATCTTATCGACTATGCTTCAAGTATCTCATAGTAGTTGTCTACTGAAGCTTCGTTACATCATCGAGTTTTAACGAGTTTTTAGGTGAGTGGGGGGTGTCATGGAGAGCTGTTTGTTTTCATTCTTTAATACTAATACTACTTTAAAGCAAAGGTTTCAAATAAACACAACATTAGACAAACCCCCCCCCCTTCCTGATACAAGTGAGTACATGCTTGTGTGTGTGTGTTTATGTATTCTGGTCCATTTATTTTTTTTAATTCACCCTTAACTCAAATTTATGTTTACTTTTTTTTTATACTTCTTTGATACTCTCGGTGGAAATATTACAAACTTTTTTCTATGAGCCAATGTTAATGAAAATATGATTCGACTAATGAGAAAAGTTGACTTCTTTTTTTTAAATCATTCTCTCCTAGGAATTACTACCATTAGTTGGTATATATATTTTTTCCGCTGAGTTAATCACGTTTTTATCCGAGATAATATGACTAAAATTGCATATACACGTTACCAGGTATTTATAAGAAGGTACGTGTTACTATATTACGCTTATGAGAACGTTATCTTACCGAGTGAATGAAATTCGTGTCGGTGAATCATAATAAGATGTTAAATATTCGTTATACTAATATCTTTTTGTAATAGGAGTCTCATTTATCTCAACATTAAAATTTTAAACCATTGAAAGACGATTTGAATAATTTGAATAGAAAAATAAAAAAATGTACACGTGAGATAGAGTAATTTTCAAAGATAAACAGATAAATAGAGGATGAATTTTTGTATTAAATTCATTTTACTCGGTCTATGGATCGTGGATGCACATGGTGAAAAGAACGAAACGAATCGTTCATAGGTATAGAAAGGTACAAGTATAGTTATCGGAGAGCTCGTAAAAAGAGAAACTCGAAGCCGTTGTCCTGTGGCTTTGCTGGTTGCACTAGCTAGGCACAAGGATACGTAGGTGGTTTTACTGAAAGACACATAGTCGTAACAGGAGAGTAGAACTTTAGTTAGGTTAAAGAGTAGGACAAAGGAGGTGTACCTCTCGTCGAAAGAGGTGGATTGTTCGTTCAGAGAGAGTCTGGCAAACTACAACGACGACTACGACGAATAAAAGTGAGAGAGAGAGAGAGAGAGAAAGCTAGCTAATGTAAGCGACCTGGGGAAAGAAAAGGATGGAAGAAGGTTCGGTAGAAGGAAGGAGAAAGAAGAATGGTGGGGTGGTGGTGGTGGTAAACGCGAGGAACGAAGCACGTGGGGACCCCGAAGTCCGTGTGTCTCTCCTTCAGTAGTGCTCTCAGCTGCCTCTCGGATAATTTCGCACCGGATGTCCATCCACCACCACCACCACCATCACCACCACCGTTCTAGACGCGTTCGTTGTTGTTGCACCGTTCGTTGCACTATTCCAAGACGTATAATGCGAACTTCTTACGAGGGAAGATATTTATTGGATTAGTCCGTTTCTTGGACCAAACGTATCATCGTAAAGGGGGTGAGTGTGTTGTTCAAATTGTTAATTACAAAAGAACAAAATTGTTTCCAGGAAGAATGGAAAGTACTTCATAGTTTAAAGATTATGTTGTCTACGTTTCTTGGAAATATATACAGTTATATCGTATTTGATTAATATAAGGTATCATTTTGTCTATCAGGTAACGTGAACAACCATCCTGTTCATCGTTTGAGAAACACACGATGGTCGTCCTAACAACATTGTCGTCCCTCGTGATACTTCATGCTATAGTTACTGCGGTATCATCTAACGATCGTGAGACAAGAGTTAAGAACGATCATTTTCATGGAGGAATTTCTCACACTATTCAAAATCGTCAAGTAGTTTGGCCCCATTGGTTCCGTGAAAGACAAAGTCGTCTTCAAGATAGAAAACATGAGTGGAATCATTTTGAAAGTTACAAAAATGATAATAACTATAATAACGATGATGACGTTGAAACAACTATAGCAGTTGCACCTACGATAGGAGGAACATCATCGATTGGTTATTCATCGTTTGGATCAATTGTAAGACCTAATGCAACAACTAGATCGGACAAATTTGGTGCCATTGCTGTTGCCGAATATTCCGGTACCAGGGCAATAGCTTATGCAGGATTTCACGATGATCATCGGCATCATTCTTATCCAGAAACTCCTGTTACACGTGGCTATCAACGAATTCTTACAACTACGCCTGCGACATACACCAGACATCATTCAGGGTACGTCATTAAAAAATTTATTTTTTTATTATTTTAAATAAAACTCTACTTTGTGTATTATTTCAAATTAGATTTCTATTTTAATTACCAACAGTTTTAAATAATCAACCTACGATATCTATTGAAATAAAAACTAATGTTGAGTCATATTCTAAGTTGAAATTCAAAAGAGTTAATCTAATTATAAATATTTTCTACGTTTCATTCTTCTATCTTTTTATTTCTAACTTTAAAAAAGAAAAATTATAATACCAATATTACCAAACGAAACTTGAAAAATTCTTTCGTATCCAAAATTAATCGAACGATTCTTATCGATTGTCACGCAGTGCACCGTTGCACCTCCTTTATATCCTCAGTTGAATACACGATGAAAGAAAATTATTCTCAAATAATCAAAATAACTCTGTAATATTTCCAATATTGACATAAAAAGCCCCCATGATATATAACCCATAACAAATAAGCAATTTAATTAAAGAAACTTAGTATTATCCAGAAGCAATGAGGGAAGGGGGGAAAGAGATACCAATTTTACTCGAGGATTTCATCGTAAAAGGGTAATCGAGTTATCAATAAGAAAGGCTACCTTTCTCTTTTATACGAAGAGAGTAGGGTGTATAGGGGGGGTAGATATTATAGTATCATATTCCAGGATCATAGATCCTTACTGTCAGTCGGGGCGATCATTAAATGGTCACGATCCGAAGTAGTATTAAGCTATAACGCAAATGTGTTTAACTCGCTTGCATGCTTGCATGCTTGCTTGCATGCATGCATGCTTGCTTGCTTGCTTGCTTGTAACTTTGCTAGCTAATATAAATGTGCTACCTCATCGATCACGTTCCACGCAAACGCATACGCCGAATTCCGAAGAGTCACTTTTTTTGTTTTGTTTTCATTTGGTATCTTTTTCTTCTTATCTCACAGCAAACGTAGTGGTAGTACCTTTCGAAAAGTACATCGTGAAAAAGAGAAAGAGAGAGAGAGAGAGAGAGTGAATGAGTGTGAGAGGGAGGGAAGGGGAGGGGGGAGAAGAAAGACCCACACGGATTCGGGCTCCAATCGAACGGACTTTATCTCGAGACACGCAAATGGAGCCGAACGAAGCGACCCATAAATATAAGCTGCTGTTAGTACCGGCGTGTCGTTGAATTACTATATTTACGAGCAATAAGCGACGCGCGAGATATCCGCGAGATGATGTACGATCGAAGAGAAAACCCGGTATATCTCGTACGCGGTGTAATAACATTTTCACTGAGTAAATGTGTGTGAGAGTGTGAGAGAGAGAGAGAGAGAGAGAGAGTGAGAAGGTTTATTTTGAACAAAAATTTAACTCATATTCATACTCATATTCATATTTATACTTATACTTGTACAAGTACTCGATTTAACATCACCGATACTATCGAAGGTTCCTTTTACTTACACCATTCGCGGCCGGTTAATTAATCGATCGATTAATTATCACTCGACTAACGCCTCTCACCGTGAACCTTACAATCATTCGAATTGTTCGTCGTACATGAGTATTTCTGTGTATTGTATATTACTAACACATATACTCGTAATATATATTCAGTCATATGGGTTTCTTATACTTTTACATCGTAGAGCTTTTTAAAGTTGAACTTTTAACTCGTTACATTATAAATCTAATTGTAAGCGTGTCTCTTTTGGAATAAATATTTTTTTATAATAATCTAAGCAATTATATCGTATCAACGTATTGTAAATTATTAATACATATATTCGTAATATATCCATATGGGTTTCTTACTTCGTAATTTTTTAAAGCTGAACTTTTAACTCGTTGCATATAAATCTAAACGTGTCTCTTCTGAAATAAATATCAATGCAACGTGGTATTTCTTTTTGTTTGTTTTTATCTCTGTGTTTTTATGATAATCTAAAAAATTATATCATATTAAAGTATGCTATTTGTTTATATCTACAATGGGTGTAACAAATATTCGCTTCTACCGATCAATTTAAAATAAAATATTGTGAAATTGCAGTTTATCAATTAATTTTTAATAAACAATGTATTTCTACATATTCTTCAAAGTTTCTATAATAGATATAATAAAATAAAAAATATATATATATTATATTTAGATAAGTTTAAAAAATTCATGATATTTTTCAATATTATTTCATTAATTTTATTAATTGTAATTCGAGATAATATTAGAGTTCTTATTTAATTAAAATAAATTAAAATGTTTTCATGAACCTGTTCGTAGGATTTAAACGATTGATACTCGTCACACCCGGTTTAACCATATTTGTATTTAAAAAAAAAAAAAAAATAAAAAGAAAAAGAGAACAAGAATTTATTCGCATACGAGAAATCATACACACCCATTTGTTATGTCCATTCTTTTTCTTTTTGTTTTTTATATTTTTTTTTTTTTTTTATATCGTGACATCGATCTTGAAAATAATCATTGATTTTTGACTCGACTACTAGTTGATAGGATAATAATAACACTTAAAACGCGATTTGTCGATATGAAGACCCCAAACATTTATACTCAACGAAATTAGAGGGTTACCACCGTTAGAGTTCGTGACGTTTATGAATAATCGTTTCTATCGTCTGACAAACGAATCAACGCACGTTGACCAAATCGAATAATTCATAAATCATAACGTTAAGATTGGTGTGACCATTTTTTTTCTTTTTTATTTCTTTTTTCTTTCAAAAGTACGTCAAGAGACTTACGAACCGAGTTCAATTTGTCTCTGCATCTCCGAATAAAGTTTCACACACAGTTATTATTAAGTTCTACCATCGAGAATGACTTCCATTCGAATAAATCTCTCCTTGGAAAAAATAAAAAAGAAAAAAGAAAAAATAAAAAAGAAAAAGAAAAAGCTTTAAGGCTTCTTCGTTGCCTTATACGTCTACGTTTTTTCTTAATTCTTCTTATTTTATTTTATTTCGTTTTATATTGTCCCCCCCCCCACCCTTTCTACCTTTACACTCTTTATCTCTTTCTATTTTTACATCAATAAATATCTGTACTTTCTTACATGTACTTGCTATTACTCATCCACTTGTGTGTACTTGCGTGTATATCTCGTTGTGATTCATTTTTCATACTTTGTTATAATCTTTAGAATATATATATATATATATATATATATATTTTTTTATATTCTCGAACGTATTTATCGTCATAAGCCTATAGAAAATATTCTTAACAATAGTGTTTGACTGAGAAAAATCACGAACACCCACATATATTCTGTCTAGCAATTATAATGAACCTAAGTTCAAAATAATTACGTAGATTTATTTGACGAAATTTATTTGATAATAATACAAATAATTTTCATATTAAATTATAAATCAATAAATTATCCTATCGTTTGAATTTTATTATAAATTTATAATATTATTAATATTTAAATATTATTAAATTTAATTTAATTAAAAATAATATATTATATTATTTTTATTATAAAATTATCTTCAATTATTATACTATACGTTACTATAATAATATTTATTTTTATTATATATTTATTATTATATTTCTTTTAATTAATTAATTAATTCTTAAATTTTAAACAACAATTAACATAAATTATTATTCACTAGCTTACTCACTATCTCTCATTTATTTTCTAACTCCCTGATAAAAGAAACAAACAGTCGCATATGTGAGTGAACAAAATAAAAAATTTAATCGTTCACTTGTACAAATACTTTTATTTACGAATGATCGATAGTCTTGGAACAAAAAAAAAAATAAGAATGATGAATATTCAAAAGAGAGAAATTTCAAATAGGAAAAGATAATGATCCCGGTCTATGTCATTGGATAACAACGATTTTGTGCAAGCTTCAAATCTATCATACACTATCGATCTTCGTTTCGTCATAAATCCATGATATGTATCAGAGAAATGACGGTGGTGTTTACGACGAAGATAGATGAACAACTATCAACCAACGAAGAAACGAACTCCCTTTCTTCTTCTTCTTCTTCTTCATCTTCAAGAAGAAGAAGGTCTTACAGATGAGGAAAACCATATACGTCCTGTCATTCTAATATCATTTTTACCATGTCAAAATCATCCTGCTTTTCATCGTACTAACATCCATTTTTCTCACACACCCTCACCCAATCTCTCATATCTCTCTTATCTTATTTTTTTATGGTGTTATCAAACACTCGTTAACACGTTTGAGTGGTAAAAATATTTTGAAGTGTTTTATATTAATTTTGTATTTGTATTAGTATTTTTATTTTATTTTATTTATATATTTTATTTATCCATTTTATTTATTTATATATTTTATTTTATTTATTTTCTTTTATATATTTATTATATTATTATATTTCTATTTATTATATTTATATTTAATATTGTATTATAATTTTTTGTATTTTAATATTATTACATTAATTATAAGGAAACATAATTTTTATATAAATATTTATATAATTATTTTCAATGTTAAATATAATAATATATGAATGAGATGTACCTGCAATGTGGGGAATATTATTTCATAAATATATGAATCACGTGTGTCACGCAATGTGTTCAGAAGAGATAGTGGTGGTGGTGGTGTGAGGGAGTTGGCAAGAACAAAGTTCGCTACCCATGTATCGTCGCTTCTTTGATCTTTCATCGGTGTGTCACTCGGTTCATTAAATCCGCTTAGATTATTCGCCTCAATCGAGATTACCTGCTTATCGAATCAACTTTAACCACAATCCCTATCTCAGTAACACGAATATGCAATATATACTTTGAACGATTATTTTATTGATTATAAAAAATTAAATAAAATACAAAAATAATCAGCATGTATTTTAAACGATCGTTTTGTTCTTACTTTGATAGATCATACGATGAAATAAATTTGTTGTAAACTTATTAATTGTTTTTCCAACTAAATGTTCTTTTTAAAAAAAAAGAATTAGGAAAAATTTTGGAATATATCTATCAACGGTATTTAAACTTTTCTTACTGGA